GGCGTGCCTTGCGGGCGGCTGCCCACACTGCCGCTCCCGGCATACCATGCGCCGCCCCGCCCCGCCCAACGCGGGGACGACAACTCCTGGGAGCCCCCGCGCGGCAATGCCTGGGGATGTAGCTGCCCTAGGGCATGGCGCCTATCCTTGGCTGCCTGCTCTGCCCCCGCTGCGCCAGGCCCTGCACCTTGGGGTGCAGCTGTCTGGGCTGTGGCGGGTGGGCACTTGCCCCACTTGCTCTGTGGGGGGCTCGGATGGGCCAGGATGAGGTCCCTGCCCCCACAGTAGAAGGGCCCAGCCCTGATGGGGTGCAGGACTGGCTTTGATTCAGCAGAGGTTCCCAGCCTGGGTCGTGGGGTCCCAGAAAGGGCTTGTGCTCGTCTTTGTGGCCAGGCCTCCTGTGCCCGTGCTTGGTGCTAGCCCCAGGATGCGTGTGCGGGCTGCGTTCAGACCCCCCAGCCCTTGCTCTGCTGGGCTACGTGAGCCCATCTTGTCCCGCTCCTGGCTCTGGAGCTGCCCTGTCTGGATGGATCCAGGCATCTTGCTGGCTGCTTTCCTGCCCCCTTCCTTGGTGCTCGGAGCCGCCCCGCTGTGGCTGTTGCTCTCCTCCAGTGCTGTTCGGAGCACCCGGCCTGCGGGACCCGTCGCTTTCCCCTCTTGGACCCCCCTGCACGGGGCCACAGGTTAAAAACTCCACAGAGCCCCAGGCATAAGTGGAAACTGCTTTTAATCCTTCAGTAACTCCCACCAACCAAAGCTAGTTGAAGGCACCGGTCCCCCTCCCCGCACCCCCAGATTAAAGCCAATGGGGAGTTTCTAAGACAAGCTGGTTTGGGATTATAATGAGCCTAAGGAGTTTAAGAAAATGCCCCAAAAGCAAGAGCCCGTTGTGTTCGGAGATGCCTTGTTTGATTGGCCTTGTACAGGCTGGGGACAGGCTGCCCTGACATAAGCTGTTGCAGGAGGGATGGGGCCAGGGGGCAGGAGCTGGGAGGGGGCTGCATTTGGTGGTGGAGGGGACTTTGGTGCCGGCCCTGGGAGGGCTGCACCCCCCTGGCTGCTAGCAAGGACCCCATGGCCACAGAGGGAGCCTGGGTTTGCATTTGGTTTAAAATGATTTTAAAAAAGAAAAAAAAATGCCCTGGATGTTGTCTGCATGCCAGCCTGGTGCTGCAGGCACCATGATGTGACACCCCCTGTTCTGGCCCATGCCCCTTACCTCCCTCCCCCAGGATGGGCTGGCAGGCAGTGCACTGGCAGGGTCCCATATGGGTGTGGGGGGCGCTCGCTGTCCCTCCCAGCCTACCCATGCCAACCCCATGCCCCTTGGCAGACTGGCCTGCCCCAGGGGTCTCCAGGGTTGTGCCCTCTCACTGGCCTCCTCCGTCCCTACCTGTTTTGTTGCTCTGGTGCTGCCCCCTGGTGCCCACGCCCAGTACCTGGCAGGCACTGCTCTGCGTTAGATCGCTGCCAGGCTCTGCAGTGCTATGGTGCTCAGGGGAGGACTGTGAGGGACAGGCCAGGGCTGCCAAGAGCCAGCCTTTGGAGGCTCCCTCAGTCCATGGCTGTCTTGGGTGGGCAGAGCTTGGTGAGGGCCTGAGATGGGCAGGGCTGGTTCGGGTGGGAGCTGCAGCTCCTCCCAGTGAGGGGGGCAGGTGCTGAGGGCAGGTGTGGATCAGCGCTGCTCGGGACTGCAGGGGAAGGGGCTGGGTCCCTGGCTCTGCCCAGCTGGAGGTGCAAGATGCTGCCCTTCAGTCACTGGGGCCCGGGCGTCCTGCTCCAGCGGGGGCTGGGAGGGGGTCTTCATGGGCCTGCTGCTGCCTGCTGGTGTCCTGGGGAGATGGGTGCGCAGGTAGACTGGCTGTGTAGGCTGCCTGTGCTCCCTACCACACGTTGCAGTGCTTGCCGGGGTTCATGGGCGAGCTGGCCACGCAGCCAAAGTGCTCGGCAAAGTCTCTGGAGTTGCTGAGGGTGCCAATGACGCGGAACTTGTCCGGGCTGTGCGGGTCGGTGACCAGCCCCTCGTGTGAGCTCTCCGGGGTGCGCACTGAGCACCACACCTGTGGGAGGCACGGCTGTAAGGGGCGCACAGGCCTGGGCTGCTCCTCAGGCGCCGGGGGCTCCTGCTTGGCCTGGCAGCCCCTGCCTTAGCTTTGCAGAGCAGCAGGGCTTCTCTGGGCTGGGCAGGGTGTGAGGACAGCCCAAGTGTGCCCCAACTACAGTGGGGGCCATAGAAAAAGAGGGGGCCTGGGGAGTTCTGAGAGAGGAGCAGGGAGTAGGCCTGAGCTTGTGAGCCAGAAAAGGGCCCCTTGAAGGGGTTGGACCATGCTGGGCCTAAGCCAGATGAGACCACGTAGCCCTGATGAGGTGCTTGTGGGGCCTTCTCTCGTGGGTTCCTTTTCTACTGATGTCAGGCTTTAAAAGCCACGGGCACCATGATGGCAAGCAGGGAATGCAGGTTTGCCCCAAGGGGGGCAGGCATGATGGCTGGGGAGGGCATGGGAACATCCAGGGGTGTAGGTCAGCCACTGGAGAGAGCGCAAGGTTGGGACCAAGGGGTACTGGTTGAACTCTGAGTCTGGTTCGCACCAGGGCTGGGACAGCAGGGGGTGGTGGGTCAGGCATAAACAATCTCAGCAGAGCTGTATGTATGGGTGTGTGTGGTGGGGGGGGGGTTGGGTAGCCA